AGCGTGCCTCTTTCTTTCCTTATCTTCAACACATACCTCTATGATTTTGTCCCCGCGCTCCTCAGCACATGGCTGTCTATGTCTGCTATTAGACTTCTAATCTGTATAGTAAATATTCTTTTTTCTCCCCGCCCTTTTTTTTCCTCTCCTACATAGGCTAATGCAGAATTACTCGAGATGATCACCTTTTATTTGGAATTAGGAATTTCTATAGTACTTGTCATAATTTCCTTTTTGTTTTCATTTCACCCTCCCTGCAGCAGTGGTTTCTATGATAAAGAAATTATCTGAAACTTCTCAAAAAGTGGTGGCTGGTGTACTCAGAGCAGTTTGTGTTCTTCATTAACCTTGCAGTTTGGAGATCCAGACTGCAGTTGAATTCAACTCCTGCAAGTCTTGAACAAGACTTGATGGACAGGAGTTCAGCTGTGGTCCACGGGAAAAGAAAAAGAAAAGAAAAAAAAAAAAGGACAGAAAAAGTAACTCTGAGGGCTTTCTTATTTGTTTCTCAACTATAAAAATTTTGGGAATGCTTAACAGGAGTGCATGCATTTTTCTAAGTTTAACATGTCTTAAATCTGTTTTGTTTTGTGTGGTTTTTTTCCTCATGTGATAAAGGTACCTTAATGTTTGAAAGATGGTTTTAGTGTGTAGGAATGAAAAGTGAGTAGCAAGAAATTAATTTTAGTGTTTTGATGTGACTGATACAGTAGATTTAGTCCAGCTCCATTAAAATTATTTTATGTATCTGTTTTAAAGCTGAGCAACACTTTGTGCTCCCCTACTATTGGTTTTAAAGAGGACATGGCTTAAAATGGAAGAATAGTCACTGGAGTTTTGAAATGCTGGTTAAATAGAGCCTTTGCAATAGCAAAAAAGAAGTTCCTTGGTTTGTTGAGCAGAGGAGAAAAGAAGACAAGTCTACCCTGGAAATCCTTCTGGTTTTGAAAAAACAGTAGCAGTTAAGTAGTTCTGGAGTCTGGGTGCTGTTAGAGATAGTAAATACACTGAGCATTTATTTTCCTCCACCTTTTCTTTTTCTGATTTTTAGTCTTAATTTTTACTATTTGTATATTTTCAAGAGAATGGAGGCTAAAGAATTAAAACCATATTTATTCCTCATTGCTCATAATTGTCTATCTGAGGTTGGCCTCGATGTTTCAGGCAGAATTACTTGTTGTTACAGAACACTTTTTCAGACAACACTTCCCAGATCAGTGGGTTTCTTTCCCCCTGACTTCTCAAAGTGAGAGTGAATGGTTTTGTGTATCACATGTTCCGCCACAAAGGCAGGCTTCCAAGGGTAATAATGCTGTTAGATGTTTAGGGCTATCCACTCTGATAATTTACGGATGAAGTTTACTAGCTTTTTTTTTTTTTTACTAGTGATTGCCAAATATGGGGGCTATCAGTTGGAGTTGGAATATTATTCTTATGCATGTTATAATCTTGCAGTAACTTTAGTTTTCAGTCCACCCTAAAGTTTGGTAATTCTGTTCTGAATCCTTATACTTTGGTTATTTAAGCAAAGCCTGTACTCAGATAGTAGGAAGGTAGTACTAAGAAGTACACAGGAAGTACTAAGAAATGAAAATATGGTGTGTATCAATGGAAGCATTTATTTAGAAGTGTTTGCTTCATGCTAACAGCTGGAATGTTGTAAGCCTTACATCATACTCTGTAATGGAGCATTGCTTTGCACTTTTTCTCTCTCTGTAGCTCATCTTGCAACATTAATATCAGTTGTCTTGAGCTGCTGTAATTGACTAAAAGTTCTTGCTGTGTTTTTCTAACACTCTAGTTATCAGTGTATTTGAACATCTAAGTAGTTTCTGCGTTTTATAAAGCATGTAGCATGGCAAGACATCCTTTTTTTCCTCCCTTTTTTTTTTTTCTCTCGTGGTGGATTGTAGTAAGTCCTGAGTGGACTCTTCTACAGCAGTACCTTTTCCATTCCAGAATCTTCTTCCATTTAGCCAGTATCTAAATCATGATACCCTGGCCTTTCAGCATTGATCACAAGACAGACACTTAAAGTCTTTTGGCTGCCCATTCAGGACTTTGGTACAAATATAGTTGGGGCTGTTCAGCCTGGAGAAGAGGAGGCTCCGGGGTGACCTTATAGCGGTCTTCCAGTACCTCAAGGGGGCCTACAAGAAAGATGGGGAGAGGCTGTTCAGGAGGGCCAGTTGTGACAGGACAAGCGGTAATGGTTTTAAAATAGAGGGAGGTAGATTCAGGTTGGATATTAGGAAAAAATTTTTTACCATGAGAGTTGTAGAACACTGGAACAGGTTGCCCAGAGAGGTGGTGGATGCTCCATCCCTGGAGACGTTCAAGGCCCGGTTGGATGAGGCCCTGAGCAACCTGATCTAGTTGGAGATATCCCTGTTCCTTGCAGGGGGGTTGGACTAGATGACCTTTGAAGGTCCCTTCCAGCCCTAATGATTCTATGATTCTATAGCAGAAAGTTACTGCACGTGGAGTACATCCATGTGATTCCTATCTACCAATATTGGCCACAGTAGCTGTTTTTGAAGAGATATTAAGAAAATAAGTTATTACTGATATTTTATTCTCCATAGAAAATTACTGTGAAAGATAGTAATTTGTAGGGTTGTGTAGGGTTTTTTGGTGGGAGTGGTGGGTTTGTGTTTTTTTTCATTTTGTTTTTCAACCCTGGAGTATAGTTATGTGTATATCTTAACAATTTATACTTTTTTCCTCCTGCCTCATTCCCAAAATCCACCCTCAAACTGCAGTCCCTCTAAGTTCTTGTGAATGTGAGAGTCCTTTCTTTGTCTGTTAGCTCCAGGTGCTTATTTTATTCCCATTAAAATATTAATAGGGATGCTATAGACATATAGGGTTATCGGCACAGGCACTGCCTTAGGCTATGAGTTTTAAATTTCCCTCTTTGGTTTCCTACTTTATAGTAGAGTTCAGGATTTTCTCTTGGAAAGATGATTCAAGTAGTCTTCTGATAATTTCTCCAAGCTACATCTAATCCAGATGTGACAACTAATAGTCAACATGCAATTCTAAGAACTGAAAACATTCCTCAAGTTTCCATATAAATACAATAGTAAGCAGGTGAGTAAAGCCAACCCACCGGGAATTTAAGTGACAAGGCAAGTTTTGATTCCTGAAGTAGAAACAAGTTTGAATAGTGTAATTGATAATGTTCAGCTCAAAACATTGACAGTTTGAGACTGAGGCATTATGCAGAAAGAGTTCAATTCACAAAACCTCAAAGACCCCGGAGGCAGACCTATCAAGAAAGTAAGATCTTCAGCGTCATATGCAATTTATACCTGACCACTTCAGTGTTCAATGATAGCGAGATGAAGAAATGCTCTAATCTTCATCCTGAAGTTGAGGAACTGAAGCATGGGATGTTTCCAGCTCAGATTCACTGTAACTGAGGTGTATTAGCCTGGCATTTATTCACTCTAGCTTCCCACCGCAGTCAGTGGCCAGCTTTGGATCTCACCCATTTTCCATAGGAAAATTTTCCTGTAGCAGTCATAGGCCAATACCTTAACCATTAAATCTTGCTGCCAGCTATGATATTATATGTCTTTTATAATGTGTTGGAATTCTCTTAATGTCTGAAATATAGGGTGCTAACACAGAATTATAGCTGTGTCAATGACCTTAGAAAGTAGTTCTAGTTCACAGTTTGTTGTGAAAAGATAATCAAAGGTGTGTTGCTCGTGTCTCCTGCAGTCATCAGCAAAGGTAATGATCTCCATTAAGCAGTCTTTCACAAGTGAATTCTGACAGAAGAGAATGGGCATGTGCTTACAATATCCTCAGTAAGTTTATTAGAACAGACGACCTCTTATACAGAATTTCCTAAAGAGATTTTTAAAAAATTAGTCCTATGCCCTTTTAAAAAGCCTGTTGAATGCCATAAACAATATAGTCCAAATACTCTAGAGACAGGTCTTGTTGTCATGGGTACTCAAAAATATGTACTGAGCATAAAACGCAGCTAAGTCTCTGGGCCAAGCTCAACTGACATTACACTCTCAGTTTTAGTAATGTGGTCTGTCACATGAACAGCATTTGATTGCATTTAATGAATCTCTCTTTGTTAGTAAGAAATTGTATATATTTATGTCACTACAGGTTTATCAACCAAGGTTAACGATTTGGTTAAGCCAGAAAATCTTTCCAACCAGCCGAGAGGATGGGAGATTTCCAAAGGTAAAGTTATTTATGTAATTTCTTTCATTTAATAGTTTACTAAGATGAAAGTTTTCTGAAAAAAAAAAACAACCAACAAAATCGAACATTGAAAGTTCAACGGATTTTATTTCATGATTGCTTCAAGAGAGCAGCCAGCTCTCATGATTTCATCACGAGTCTCATGGTATTCTATTTTTCTTTAAGCCTTGGCTGCTTGAGCCGGGCAGTTAAGTGAGGATTTCAGCTTTCATTTTAAAATTATGTTTTTAGCCTTCAGGCTTGCAGAAAACATGGACTCTTGCTGGCTACATGTCAGAAAGAAAACATACTAATTTTCAAGAGCTCATATTTCTTAAGCCTGTCTCATGATTTTACAAGCTTGACATCTGAGTTTTAAATGCTTGATTTTGGCAATTCTTTCTTAGCAATACAGATGAAAAAGTCAATGATAATGCAGGAGGAGAAAGGAGGTGGTGGTGTTTTTCTTTTTCTTTTGTTAAGTTTTCTGCTTCTGCTTTACCTGGCTTGAGTAACAAGCATACAACACATGGCAGTTTTCTTTTGAGTTTGACAAGAAGTACCCCAACATAAATGCAGAAGACGTGGCTTGTCAGACAAGATTCATAAGATTTTGTTCTGTTACCATCCCTGGTTTTATAAATGTGAAACTAGATATGAAATTTGAGTAGGAAAATAAAACGGTTACTCAGAAAATGCAACAGTTACTCAGAACCACAATGTACAAGTTTTATTTTCATATTCCCTTTCATTACTGACACAAAATCAGGCAAAAAAAAATGGCAGGTAAGTAAAGGAACATGGAAAACTGTTTTCATTGAATTTCAATTATTATCTAGACTCCAGCTCCATGTTAACAAAACTGCTATTCCATTTGGATAACACTGTATTTTCCACACTGTTTCTTTATAAAGGAACTTCTAAAATTTATTGCTGGGCTATTTGCAGTCTGCTATGTGCAGACTCATGTGCCAGCATGCCAATTTTTAAATTAACATATATGGCAGTACTGCCATTCTTAACGTTCAAAGTATTTCAAAAAGTTCAGCTGAATAGGCTGATAGCAATGCCAGATTACGATGAACGTGCTATATATGGTTATACTTATATTAAGTGAATTTGCTAATTTTATGAATCAGCTGTGTGTTAACTAGATGTTTTTCATTCAAAATTTTAAGCTAGCAGCTTTTAGTAAAGTTGTCATTCATCGTTAAACAAAGTTGCTCTTGAAACACAAGAATGAAGCTGTGGACTGTGTGCAGAACAGTTAGCAACAATGCTGTCTTATATTGGATTTATGAATAGCCATATTTTTGTGCTGTACATAGCTTAAAAAATTATAAAAGAAGAATAATTGTTTCTCAACTAGTCAAAAAATATTATACTTTTTTCCTTTTAAAGTGATTTAATTCCTGTTTTTCAAATACTATGCATTTCTTCTAGCCTTTATGTAATTCTTCAAAAGATAGATTTGGCATATGCTTACAAGGACCAGTTTTTAGAACTAGCTCCAAATTTTATTTCACAATTGATCTTCAAAAGCAACTTGAATATTAACTGCGTGCAATGCAGCTTCCAGTAGAGTATCAGCCTTAACAGAAACTAGGTGTCTTTAGAATCTAATTTTTTTCATCTGTCTTATAAAATTAATCAGGATAAATTTCTGAAGAAGACTGCAGAAAGTGCTCAGTCTTTCAGCTCAACAGTTGTATATACTCAATGCTAAACAGCTTGAACTACTGACAGAATAAAGTAAAATTAATAGATTTTTTGAAATACTTATTTCAGATAAAAATGCGCTTTTAATTTTGTTTTGTTTTAATGCAACCAACAAATATAATAGGACACCTTTCTTAAAAAGAATTTATTTCTGGACCTAGAAAGGTCATATGGGACTTTTAATCTTATGATTGTATGGAAGAATTTCAGGACTGAGATTGTTTTCACAGCTGAAAAGGAACTGCCCAACACAATGCCTTTGGAAATTTGCCCAGACCTTTGGTCTGTGTGGTGTGCCTGTTTGCATATGTAAGTTTCTAGTTTTCTTCTCATATCCTGTAATGATACACAAGTAGCAAACTTAGTCAACAAAAACTCAAAAATATTATCACGAGGATGGAATTTTCTAGAGTCCTGTGAGGAAACATGTTTGTGCAGTCACTAAAATTTAAGTGTTATTTTTTCGTTCTGAAATTGTATCTTGCAAAATCCCCATCTTGGCTCTAGCAAAAGCAAGGTATGTTTCTACTCCTACTTGTTGCCCTGGCTTGCAGAGCCCTTCTGCATATGTGCTGATCGAAGTCTGTTCGTTTCTCCCTTTCTGATGCCCCAAAGGGAGAGGACACCTTATGCCCTTGGGAAAGGATTTTGTTCTGTGTTCAGTCTGAAAACTGCTCCTGGCTGTGTACAGTGCAGAACCCCGGGGGACTTCATTTACCCAAAAGCAGAAGTTATCCTGTGATAAAGACAGTGGGAAAGCCATGGAGCGGCATCATTCCCAACGCAAGTAAATGTAGCAAATATGGACATTGCAGTGAAAATTACGGCTCTGAAGGACCAGGAAAGGAAAATTGCTGAAAATTGCACTTTCTTGGTAGTTGTGAGACTGCTGTGTGTTTAATTCCTAATTTAGAAGATCACAACTCTTGCATCAGAAAAATTGAACTTGGAGAAGATAATTTCAATTTCTTAAACAAATTAAAAGTGATCTGTTTATACGACAAACATGTCCTAAGCAATAAAAGCAATAAAACACCTTTACAGTTCTGATCTCTTAAACTCAAAATCTACATTTTTTTTTTCCCATAACTTACAACAAATTGGTAGCTAAAATTCTTTTTAAGATCCTATAGTGACGTAGCATCAGCAAAATATGTTAAGCATGAGCTTAGCCTTCAGGCTTTCTACTGATACTTAAACTGGAATGTATGTTCACATGATTTGCTGAATAGGCATAGACTTCAGCCACTGAACAGTTAAGTAGGGTTAACAAAAACCTGTCTGAGGCAGCTGGCTGCCATGACACACCATCTCTGTACTTGTCCAGAGATAAATAATACACTATGCACTACAGTGCCTTAAGAGTGCTCTTTTCAATGAAGTACTATAGGAAAGTCACTTAGTAGCATATGCTAGCTGCTTAAGCTGTAAGGTGTTTTTAAGATTAGAGGTCTAAGCTGTAAAAGATTCTCTTAACGATAAGATGGCCTTTCATAACTAAGGTGCACTTTTATGTTGGAAGCCAAGTGGGACCATAAAACAGAGCTTGGGGTTTAAAAAAAAGTAAGCAAACAAATTAATTTATTGGTAGATAATACCATTAACATTAGTTTCTTGGTTACCCAAGTTGGTACTGAGTTATCATTTCAAAGGGGCTCAGTGCCATTGGTCGATTTGTGGCCATGAGTGCTGCATTCACGGTGCTGAGACACTGTGCATCCTGTGCTTCACATGTGCAAAATAGGTAATTGCTTATTTTCAGCCGTATTTGTATGCCAGAACTAATGCACACACAGCACCTGCAGATGCAGTTTTAGGCCTGAGCTGTCCCAGTTATTATGAAGGGTACAGAAATTGCTTGGTTTGGCAAGAGTGGGAAAAATAATTTTGAGGAGCAGTATAAGGACATACAGCTGGCGGTGAGCAGCGGAAAGCGTTGTCACTTCACAGCTTCTTCCCCTGTAACTTTGCTGGGATGTTTGGGGTGTCCCCAGCCGCAGCAAATGCCCAAATTCCCTGGTGCAGCATTGGAGGATGGTCGTTGGCTCAACTCTTCCGCATTTTGGCTGCTGAGGCACACTCGTTCATCCCCAGGCGAAGTGTTCCTCAGATGATGCAAGGCTTGCATGGTGTTTAAGCGATCCTTTGCTCTCTGTGGCATCAGTATTTACAGCTGTTTAAGCCATGTTGAGTAGCTGCTCTTCTGAACTCAAGGTAGGGGACTGTGGACACCTCAGGACAGGCGATAGGAGAACCCTGCCAAAAGGATTTCTCCGAAGCACAGCTAATACTGTTTTATCCTCTCTGCAGGGAAGTCTCCCCATCTCGAAGGAAGTAAATCGCAAGAAGAAAAGTGAGGAGGAGGGGGCGGGCCCGGTTCCAGAGAATGGCTATGGACACCATTTCACCAAAATCAATTACCTCTACTCTTTTTAATCATAATCTCTCCATTTGTATTACATATGGTGTATGGGTTTGATGAGGTCATGGTGTCATATATCGGGAATTGTTTCTGTGTAAATCATCAAGTGTAAGAAGAAACTATGGGACTCTGAGCCTTGCTTTAGAGAATAACAGTGGACAAACGTGTACCATAAAAAATAGTTTTTAACATTCTGACTCAAGCGAAAGCTCTCAGAATTTCACACTGTGAATCCATGTTTACAAACATTACAGGTGGGCCCTCAGGCCTGGTTCTACCACAGCAATGTCTTCCACTACTCAAACTCCACTGCTCACATGCAACTGGTAAACTGCTCTCTCCATTTCCACCATCCCGAACTGCTTCTTGCAGAGGCTGAGAGTCCCCCTTTTTTTTCATTTAGATGTAACAAGCCTGGTAGTTTATTTTCATCGATTGTCTGTATATCTCTATATTTTATCCATGTACTCTTTTGATGTATAGAAGTAGTATGAAACTCATGGTTTCCTTGTGGTAAGTGATTGTGATGCTGCCACGGGATTTGAGACACTGATGAATGGTGCTATTTTGGACTTTAAATATGCTCCTTGGCAAGGTAGCTCTGATGGAGTTATTTTTTATTTCCATGTTCTGAGAAGGTGTTGGTACTTTGTTTTTCTGAATGTTGTTCTTTAGACTGGACTGACTTGTTTACTTGTGTCTTCAGTGTGGCTTTCTTATTCAGTGCTGTAGGTCAGTAACTACTTATAGTGTACAAGTGAGGAACTGATTCCCTATCAGGGTCCACTCACAAACATGCAGTTACAGTGGGAGCAATCACAAAACTGTAATTTACGTAAAATCTCCTTTCTGACTCCTATCCACCTAATGGAGATAGACGAGCAATAATTTTCCACCAACCTCTCAAAATCTCTTTTGATTTTTCTTTTTTTTTTTAAAGCCTTTTAAAAGAAGGGACAAGTTTTAATGTCCTCTTTGAATCCATAAAATAGGGGATATAGTAAGAAAAACAG